GGGGGGCTTCTTTCCAAATTAAGACCAAATCTACAAAAATAAAATAAGGTTTTTGTCTTCTGTTTGTTCACATAAGAAGTGCTGGAGGGACATGTCTTACAACTAAGGTACATACATTGCTGTGTGGGGACCTGAGGGAGCCCCTCAAAGAGACAGTCATCCTCCAAATCAACTGAAACTGATAGACAACAGGAGGCCTGTGTGAATGCTCATCAGCAGAGGAATGCCACATGCATAAACATACTTATTAAGTCACTGTGGGTAGAGAAAAACAAACAATGGTTTCAAATACGCGCCCATATCAAAAGGCAGAAGACTAACTTTGAATTTTATGTGATAATGTGTCAACAGATATTGTTGCACATCAGCAACTTCAAGTGATCAGTAAAAGGATATATAGGTTAAAAGTTTACTAAACCAAATAAAGGATAACCAAATAGTGCAGAATGGACACAGAATAATCTTTTTTCTTCTTTCATTTTGAGATAGGGTCTCACTATGTTGTTCAAGCTGGTCTTGAAATACTAGGCTCTAACAATCCTTCTGCCTCAGCCTCCTAAGTAAGGCAATAAGTATGCACCACCATGTCTGGCTTGAATAATCTTTAAAATGTAGTAATGCAATTTATCGATATGAATTCATATATTATGTTAAAAAAAAAAAAAAGAAGAAATTCACTATTCCTATGTTTTAATCTACTAATCTGCTTTCAGGGACCCAAAGAACACACGTCTCAGTGTATCAAGTATAATTTTCAACCTGTTTGTATTAATTTCCAGGTGTCATAGCATAAAACATACCTTTCTTCTTCCCTCCTCTTTCCGATCAAAAGCACACTGTTGTTTGCACTGTTCACAAGTCTGAGGTGGCCCATACTTTTTTTCTGAATTTGTGCAACGCTGACATTTGGTACCAATAAATGCTGCAATTATGTTACAGTACTGACAAGGCTTGGGCTGAAAAACAGACACACATTTTTTTGGAGACATTTGAAAATCCCAAATATTTGCAGCACAAAGTATATCCAATATTACAAATACTTCGGGGATTAAGGAAACTCAGAGGTAAAAAATATGTTTTCTGTCAAGTATGTTACCCTGCCCACGACATTCATCATATTTCTATTGATTCAATTAATATGTACTTGAGAATCCTGAAACTATTACTCTTTATTTAAATAAGATCATAAGTATATACATTATTTGCATGATATGCTACATAACACAGAAGCTGCACAAAAAAAAAGTTTTCAAAGACTGAAAATAAAGGCACTGTAAGTTTTGAGAGATAAGTCTCATGTATTCAGAATTTGGGGGAATAAGCTTTTATCATCCAGGCTAGCTCAGTTATTAAATCATTTATTCAAAAAATAATTTTCAACCTACAGATGACTTAAGAAATAGATACTATAGTTGAATTTTCAACTTTAAAATACTGGGATAAGCACATGCAATATTAATTATAGTAAATATACCTTGATTTTCTTGGACAGTCAAAAGAAATTAGGTTAGTACAAACCCTTAAGATCAGCACTATGAACAGTGACAAGTAATGCGGACATACCACCAATGACTAACACACGTGCAAGATAACTTGTACTAGGATATTGTCAGAAATTTTGTGAAAATCACCTGAATTGTGCTGCCATATAAAAATAATACTACGGATAAAAAGTATGAATATGCAAACTTTACGCATAAGTGGGTTCTCCACAATAAGGAGTCTGTTATATTTGAATCTTCAACAGTGAAATTCAATATGCAGTACCTAAAAGATGCATACAATGTCAGTTTTTAAATACTGTCACCTTTTCATCAGATTTGTCTATAGAAATTTTATTTCATGAAAAATTTTGATACGTTGAGATATGTAAGAACATGGCTCTAGATGTTTTTTATAAGGTCCCTCTTGGTGAAAAACATTAATTGACCAGTAATAATAATATAAAATGAAAACATAAGACACTTACTGTCCCAAACTGCTTCACATTTTGAGCACACTTCTTACAAATTGTGTTAGTTTTGCTGAAAAGAATTATACAGATATGATCACATTTCTGTACCTTTCTGAGGTAACTGGCACAATGTTAAACTAAAGTAAATGAATAAAGTCAATGGTTCATACTACTTGAAACAATCTAAAGCAAGTATTTTTAAAATATGAATATGAGGACCTTTTTAGGTTTTACATAAATTTAATTACAAAGCAAAAAGATCCTTACGGCTCATTTCCAGTCACAAAATCTTCATACATGTCATTATTAAAGCACAGCATTACCTATCAGTGCCTACTTAACCTCATGAATTCTTTTTCTATTTGTTTTCTTAGGCTAATTTTTTCTGTGCTCTCAAAGTACAATCACCTGTTTAAAATTTTCTGCTATTCTTTCAAACCTAACAAGTTACTAGGTTCTACCCTTGGAAGGCAGTTGGTAACACCACTGATCCTTCTTTACAACCATTAACATTTTAGCTTTTTAAAACAGATAAACAATTTATTTGCATTTTTGCAAGCAAGGCTATACATTTCCCATTTAGTAATTTACCCTTTATTTCTTCATAAGCAAACTGAAGTTTAATTGCAAAATAACAGTCACTTTGGTTTTGGTTAACATTCTCCCACAATCTATGTATAACTTAAAATTTTAGAGGCCAAATCGTTTTAACACTTAATCAGTTTCAAGATACAGGAATAACACTCAGTTCCTTACATATAACACTTGTTTTTAACAATCAGAAACTGTTCATTATACAAACCTCTCTTGTTGAAATTCTGATCTGCAGTAAGTACATTTTACAATAGGATGCGCGATCCGACATTCCTGTAATAAGACAGTACATCAGTCAGTATCTACCTCACTTACTGGCCTATCTCGACAAATGTCTAAAGACATCAGTAAAACCTGCTAATGTAAACAGTTGGATGACTTATATATATGGCCACACACAACATAATTCCTTAGGGAGGGTGTACATGCCTTTGTCTTTATTAGATGTAGAAAGTATGTTACAGATAAATTAAGAAAGCTGTCAGGGCTGATTTCAAGGGGTGGTTAAATGTGAAACTACTTATTATTTTGCACCGTTGCTCACAGACAGCATCCTGGCTTTAATGGGATGGGAGGAGCTCCAATCATAGAGCATTCTGTTCCTAAACCAGTCGCTTCGCTTTCCTGGACAGGGAAGAAGGATGCCATCAGCTTTGCGGCTTCGGGTTCCTAGCAAGAAAGTGCAAAAACCGTCCCCAGCCTCCTAGCGGAAGGAGAGGACAGACCCGGCAGAAAGCTGAGATGAAAATATCTCCACCCCAAGGTCTCTGCGGCATAGACAGGTGTCTGTCTCCTTTAGCCCCACCCGAAACCCTCTGACGCTGATGGGGCCCGGTCCCCTCTAGGGCGGTCTAGAAGAGAGTAGGTCGCTGGCTTTCTCACGCACCGATCTTTCACACCTCATGCTCAAGCTCTGGGAGAAGGGAGTGTGTTTGTGTGTGTGTGGGAAACCTGGGCTCTAGACTCCCAAACCCGGAGGTGCCGGCGAAAGGCAGGGTGCAGAGTGGCGGCCACCCAGCCCCTCAGGATACGGCAGAGGAAACCCCGCCCGCCCGGCGCCCACGGACCTTGCAGAGCTGCTGGCCCTGGGAGAGCTCCTCGAAGGGATAACGCTGGGTACACTTGGTGCAGGCATACAGGGCCGAGGCCGCCATCCTGCTCCTCAGTCTCCTCCTCCTCCACCGCCGCCCGCTC